CTTGGGAGTACGCCAGGGCTTTGGCTACAGGCGGTTGGTGACAGCGGAGCGATGGACGGACATGCTGTCTTTGTGCGAGGAACGCATGAGTTGAATGCCAATCCGAACACGGATCAATTGGCGTCGAGTCATACCCATGGGTGTCGGCTCCGTATACCACATCTGTCAATCACCAGCGCCAAAGCTTCATCATAATGCCAGCGCCAAGGCGCCCAAATACTAGACACCCACTGATACACTTCCAACCCACAGCGTATACCGAGCAGTGAACATCCCCGAACACCGCGTCGCCGCCTGCAAGCTCGTCCGGTTCACTGACGACACAACCGAGAAGGAACGCAAGACCGTGGAGAAGGAGATGCGCGTGCACACGGCGCTGAAGCACAAGCACGTATTGGAGTTCCTGCACGCGGTCATCGTCGAGCTCAAGCATCGCCATATCTACCACCCGGGGATATACATGCTGCTCGAGCTCGCGGGCGGAGGGGATCTCTTTGATAAGATCGCCGCGGATGTGGGACTTGATGAGGATGTGGCACAGTTGTATTTCAATCAGCTTGTTTCTGGCATGGTGAGTTTCTTTTCTTTTCTTTTCGTTTTTTGTTTTGTTTTGAGGACTGGGAATCTCAATATGTATGGGGCAGTCGTACATCCACGCTCAGGGAGTCTGCCATCGCGATTTGAAACCTGAGAACCTCCTCCTCGACGCTGCGGGAACACTCAAGATATCAGACTTTGGTCTCTCGGCGGTGTTCTGCCTCAAGGAGTCGGGAAAAACGCGGCTGCTGACGGAGCGGTGCGGTAGTCTGCCTTATGTTGCACCCGAGGTACACCGCTTTTCTTTTCATCACAACGCTCTTTGTCTCTGAACATCGAAATCAAACTGTAGTTAAACAGCGAGGACCCGTACAAGGCCGAACCCGTTGACGTATGGGGTGTTGGCGTCATTTTATATACCCTCTTATGTGGAAGTGAGTTATCTGTGGCGGATTTCACGTTGTATCTCTAGCTTACTTTTGGGCAAGATACCCCGTGGGATGAGCCCACAGCCGCCAGCCCCGAATTCTGTCGCTATGTCAGCGGTAGGATCTTCATAGAGCGACCATGGAACCGGATTCCTAGCGAGCCTATGTGTACGTACACTCCTCGTATGTTCATCATATGATTGTTGACGTTCAATTTTTATTTAGCGTTGATCAAAGGGATGTTGACAGTTGACCCTGAAAAGCGAATGACGCTGGACGCCGTCGCTGCGCATCCGTGGTGCATGAGGTGCGATTTTATCTTGATCCATTTTTATTGTTCGTGATTCTGATAACTTTTGAAAACAGGCAGAGCCAGTTAGCATCCCAAGGGCTCGCGGAGCTCGCCAGTCGCCTTACGGAGTCGATTCACCAGAACGGCGAGATGAATTATGCAGCGCCGCCGACGTTGAATGGACCTGGGTATGCGCATTTTCTTCTTCCTTGGACACGATGTTCTAACCTGTCAACAGCCCTATGGATACCGACGACGAAGACACCATCATGCAATCCGCGCCGAACCACCAATCTCAATTCACTCAAACTCTCATGCTCTTCGTGCGTCTCTCCTCCTTTCTCCCAAAACACCGCATCTCACTTACCATGACCACACAGTCACAAACCCAATCCGGCGCACGCTACACACCCCACCTCACCCGCTTCTACGCCTCCCTCGGGCCCGCACTGCTCATGGGCCTCATACACGAAGCGCTCGAAGCACTCAGTGTAAAGTGCAAGATCGCCCCAGCGGTCAAAGAAGGGCCCGGGGGCAGCCAGCGACACCGGCTCCGCATTGGGGGGTGGGATAAGCGGAGGCAGATGTTCAAGGGCTGGGTCGAGGTCGAGCGGTTCACGTACCGTGGTGCGGAGGGCAGTTTTTGTGTGATGCGGAGGGATGAGGGCAATCCGATTTCGTGGAGGCAGCTTTGGAAGGCTTTGATTGAGTCGCAGGCGGTTGAGCCGCATGTTTTGAGGAAGTAAGTGATGCGTGGTGCGTGGATTGGTTGGTCGGTTGGTTGGTTGGAGATTTAGATGCGATGGGGGATTGGCTATCTACCCTGATATGATTTTGTACGATTTTTTTGGGATCTTTTTTTCTTTCTTTTCATTTAGCGTATGCCATGGCGTTATTCTTGTACATAGTTTCTTTTCTTTTCTTTTTGTAAATAGCGTCCCTCGCATCTAGTTGGCATCTGTATTATAGAATCATGGATATACATTACTTTTTTTTTCGATTTGAAGGTGGTATTTAGTAGCGTGTGGAACAAGGATATACATCGCCTCCTGGAAAGTAAAGTAGACTGGTGACTATGAGCTTCGAACAAAGTTCAGAGCTGGCCCACTTCTTCTCAGGACGCCGATATTAGCTGCCGCAGAGATTAAGTATTGAGGTAAGGTCAAGGAAAATAGAGACGAACCAGATCTCCGCTCCCAGCTCTTCGTCGGCTGTCGTCCGCCTTTCAACGCGAGCGTCCGATCCAAGAACTTTTCAATCTTTTTTGACGGCAAAGTTGCTGGAACAGAGGGTTGTTTCGAACTAGGCAAGATGCGAACGGCGCGCGAGCTAACGAAAGCATATTTGTTAGCTTGGTTCTCATCAACGGGAGCGTAGTAAAAAAAAAAACGCACCCGACGACGATATCCTTCGGTGCGTTCGCTTTCCGTTTCTTCGGAGGCGGTTTTGGGGTATCTGCGCTGGATTCTGGCTCCGCGTCGGGTTTGCGTTTTGGCTTGGAGGCGAAGGCGGCGGCGAAGAGTTCGTCGGGGAGGTGGTCTGGGTTGAATTTCGTTTTTTGTGATTTGGTAGGTGGGGGTACGGCTTCGTCTTCACTTTCTTCTTCGTCTTCTTCATCTTCTTCGCCCTCGTCGTCTTCTTCTTCGTCGTCATCGTCATCTTCGACGTCCTCGGAGTCGTTCCCGGAGTCGTCATCGTCGCCTTCGCTGTCGTCCTCGCTCCCAGACTCCCCTTCCTCATCCTCCTCATCATCAGAGCCGGCACCAATGCCTTCAAACTCCTCAAACTCTTGCCCATCATCGCTCTCATCTTCCCCAGATTCATCCTGCGCCTCAGCCATAGCCCGCTCCATTCTAGCCAGCAACTCGTCCGCCTCGTCCGCCTTTCCCTTCCCTTTCCCATTCCCCTGGCTCTTTGCGGCTTTCCCTTTCGCCTTTTCAGTAGCAGCAGTAGCAGCAGCGGTAATCTCCTTATTCTTCGCCGCGCGCTCCTTCAACTTAAGATCCCGCTCCCTATTCTGCGCCCTTTCCCTCTCCCGCCTCGCGATTTCAGCGTTCTTGCGCTCCGTGTCGAGTTTTTGGATCTGCTTTTTGGATTGGGAGAGGGAGACTGCTTCTGGGGCGTCCGAGTCGGAGTCGCTCCCTGAGTTAGATTCGGATGAAGCGCGGCGTGGGGCCATTTTTGGTTGGGTGGGAGGGTATGATGGGAGGAGGAGGATGGGAGGATGGGAGTTGTGGTTTAGTGAATGCTGATGCGCTTTTTCGAGCTGCGGAGATCACCGAAATTTGAACAGGCGCACCAACCTGATGCGGTCCGCCTGGTCTTATCCTAACCACCACCGGCATCTGTCTACCATCGTACTACCATCCCCTGGCATCCAAGTATCCCCTAAGCCCTCTCTCAGAATGTTTCCAGCACCACCCAACTTCTCAGCAGCAGTCCACCCGCTCCCATCCTACTCCTACACGCCGTCCACGTCGTTCCCAAACGTGCCTACCGTCCCCCAACAGCCTTTCCTGACACAAGACCCCCACCAACTCAGTCAAAGTCAAGCGGACCTCGGCTCTCCGGAGGCATTCAAAGAAAACCTGCAGGTGGTGCTGGAGCAGGTGCTGCAAGTGCAGGAATTTGCGCGGAGAGCGTTGACTTGTATGTACGTTGGTGTGATTGCTCGTCTCTCTGTGTGTGGTGGGTGTGGTTCTGATGCTGCGATTTTGTACGACAGACAGAACGCGTATCAGACGGGCAATTCGCGTCAGAACACTGACGGTATGCATATACTGTACCTATCACATTCAACATATGTTTGCTCACTCACTCACTCACTCATTCGTCTCCAGCCACCCTCACGAGACTGAAGCAGATGCTCGCCCTTGTCATCGAAACCATGCGCCAGTCCGGTGTTGGGGCTCTGCCCGTGCTGCAAACTATCGACGGTATGCCCCCAGCAGTCCCGACGGAGGCTGAGCTCCTCGCGAGCACGGCGCAGAATCTCAGCACGCTGTATCAGAAGCTCCAGAGGAGCCAGGATAGCGCGGCTGTTGCTGCTAATTTGTTGTCGATGGATCATCCTGCGGGACGGGTGGGATCGCAGAGGTAGGGATCGTTGGATGGCGGGGTTAGTGGCGAGATTGCGAGAACAAGGTGAGTGTTAGGTGTTAGTGAGTAGTGTCCGTTCTATTGACGCGTTGTGGTTTGTAGAATACCAGCCATGAAGGATGTTCGATCGAAGCTGATATGGAATCCCCGCATCCTTGATCAACGCAAACTACTCCACGATATCCTCTGGAAAATACGGCAGGCGGTGTATTCGATGTCACAGAATGCCAAGGAGGTTTTCTCACTCGCGTTGACGCTGATGCGAAGGAGGACGTGCTCTTGACCTCAAGCCCCAAGAGGGTGGCACCAATTCTTTCCGGCGAAATACCAGCGGAAATCGAGCTTCAAGGACACGGTGTACTTTATACCTCAAGCGATAAAGAGCGAACACGGGGCCCGGTGAAAGCGGCGTTGTGGCAAGCTTGCTTCCTCAGAATCTGGCTTGGTGTAGATTTCGTAGTCAGTTTCTACGTCGACATGGAGAACTTGGTGCACCTTGTAATCTAAAAGTCGCGTAAAGCCTTTGGGCAGAAAGAGATACTCTCGCGCATTATTCTGAGGAGTGTTGAATCTGAACTGCTTTTCGGTGACGAAAGGTTACTGTAATTTACATTAAATATATTAAATAAAGCTTCGTCAACAAGTCGGGTATGGTGTAACGGCTAACATTGCCGCCTCTCATTGGAGTGTCCGCGGCAGCTCGGGGTTCGATTCCCCGTACCCGAATTTTCGCAGGAAAATCCTTTTTTTTTGGACGCAAATCAGATTGTGTAAAACCATGAATGTTTTCCCATCAGTCTCGCAAATGATGAAGGAGAGCGCTTCGCAGCTCGAGCGCCCGTTTACGACTTTACATGCATCGATTAAGAATTGAGATACTTAGATAGGTTTACTCCTCGACTGAGGCCATCGCTCAAGAGGAGAATGGAGTGACAGATTTGATGCTTTTCTCCAAGGGATAAGTAATACATGCTTTGAAGGTAAGGAGAAAACAATAGGCGACTCCGAGGTGAAAACGTGAAATACAACACCTCCCGTTACATATTCGCCCAGAGAATGAGTACATATATAATGTCATCTCAGATTGCAGGTTACTTACATCCACCTCCTCGATATTTAGTCGTCATGAGCATAACACTGCGAGAAACAGTATACACCACTACCTTTTTCTATGTGGTGTATAGATGCTTGATTTTTTTGCTCTACAAGTCACCGTTTCGTGAATTATCAGGCCCTAAACCAGCGTCGTGGGCTATGGGTGAGTGGTGCAAGGCTTCGCAGAACAAAAGGACAGTATTGATATCAGTTTACAGGAAATCTCGGACAACTATTCAACGCGAAGGGGCTTCCTTTTCACCGATCTCTTCGAGAATTATACGGTGGAATGGTCCGCGTGTATGGGTTCTTTGGGGTGCGTTTGTGTATCCTCACCTTCCTCTCTCAATATCATTGACCCTTTCCCAATGCAGGATGAGCAACTGTACATATCCGATCCCAGCGCGCTTTATACCATCATGACCAAAGAGCAAGATGCATTCGAAGAAACGGCCGTCTTCACCGAGTGGGCGCCTCCTTGTTGTCTATTTTTAGAGTGCCGGCGGCTGACCTCGAGCTTTTTGCGTTTTGGACAGAACGAATAGGATTATATTCGGGCCTGGATTGGTGTCTACTACAGGTTCTTAAATGCGTTTTATTTTCTTCGGAGGAATGCTTTTGTTGAATGGAAGGGGGTGTTTTTTTTACAGGTGCACAGCACGCTCGCCAACGCCGTGTTGTTAATCCCATTTTTGCTGTGCCCCATCTGCGACGGCTGTCGCCCGTGTTTTATGAAATTGCCGACAAGGTGAAGTATTTCGGTTTTAGATGTGCTCCGCCTATACACTGGATCTGTCATTGACTCACAAGTATCTTTGCTATTAGCTTGCCGATGTCATCGCCGCAGAAATCGACTCGAAATGCAACCGAGAGGAGTCGTCTGATTCACAATTTGAATCCCCGCGCGCTGTGGTAGACATGTCCGAATGGATGTGTCGCGTTGCGCTTGAGTCGGTTGGACGCACGGTTCTTGGGTATTCTTTCGACCCACTTGATTCTCCCCACAATAATCCTTATACGTCTGCGATAAAGGAGCTTATGTGCGTACTCCCCTTTTTCACGACCATTTGAGGATATTTCATTACTGACCCTGACTCGATGTTGATTCAAGTCCCACCTTGTTTTCGCTTTCCCTAGTCCGCCAGTTCGCGCCATTCTTGGCGAAGCTAGGACCGCCGTCATTCCGACGAAAGACTGTGGAATTGATTCCACATGGCGCCGTTCAAAAGGTGAAGAATATGTCAGATGTGATGCATGATACTGCAGTGGACATTCTACGACAAAAGAGAGAAGAAATAGCAAAAGAAGATGGCGTGGACGTAACAAAGGCAAAAGACATCATCTCAATTCTGTGTAAGGCTCATGATCTGTAAATAATCGGCTGGCTTATTCTTTGACCAGTGCGAGCCAACGAAGAAGCCAAAGCAAACGGTGGCGAGGAGCTGAGCGACGCAGAACTCACGGGCCAAATGACGTACGCTATCCATCTCTCTCTTTGTGCCTCCCATTCTAACAATTTTTAAATTTGGTAGCGTCTTGATATTCGGAGCGCAGGATACGACGTCCTCCTGTCTCTCGCGCGTGCTTCATCAACTTTCTGTTCATCGCAGAGTTCAAGACGACCTGCGTAAAGAGATCCTAGAGGCCATGCGTAACACCGCTACTTTTGCAGAACACAATGGTCATCTGGATTACGATACGCTTTCGCGTCTTCCCGTCTTGGACGCGGTACTGAAGGAGACATTGCGATTGTAAGCTTCCTCCGCTTGCCTTTCCGTTGTATACGGCCTTACCGTATTAATTTTATAGGTATCCCCCAATCCCTTTTGTTCGTCGGAGGTGATTCTTTTCTCCTCACACCCACATAGCATCTCTTTCTGATTGAAATCGAACGAAATCCAGCGCCGTAAGAGATATCGTTCTACCTTACTCAAGGGCACCAGACGGGATATCAGATATGGCCTCGGTTCGAGTACCTTCTGGGACTATTGTGTTCGTTGATATCGCTGGAAGCAATAGTCTCACTTCTGTATGGGGAGAGGACGCGGGTGAGTGGAAACCCGAGCGCTGGCTTGAAGGGAATTCGGGTGTCAAGAATTCGGGCTTGAGGTTGCCTGGTGTGTATTCTGGAATGTAAGCGGGCTCAATTTTGCTTAGATATTTTCTGCGTGTTAAAGCTCTCTATAGGATGTCGTTTCTCGCAGGTGAAAGATCATGCGTGTACGTGTTCAAACCTCTCTCGCACTGGCCACGACAATATGCTGATGCTAGCTCTGAATTAGGGGATATAAATTTGCTTTGCTCGAGATGAGTACGAATATTTCCTCATCTCAATAGTCCTTTAAGCTAACATTATCTCAAAGAAATCATTCTAGCAACGCTCATATCAAGGTTCACCTTCTCGGCGACGGACGACGAGATCGTATGGAACCTCGCTCAGATCATCTCTCCTTCTATGTGTGTGACGTCCGAGGAAGGAATGACTACCGAGAAGAAAGGTCTTCCTCTCATAGTAGAAATTATTTAGAATGGTAGCATACACGGCATACTACTAGTAGACCATAGACGTATAAGTCCAAGGATTAGGCGCCCAATGTTCAATGCACATTCCCACGTGCCTAATTTCGGCAACAGAGAATGTTCTTGGACGCGTTGCGAATGCCTTCTCATTCCCCTAATATCGTCCATAATTTGACACACTTTTTGCTAGTACTATAGCTAATTCCAGACATTAGCGAAAACCGAAAATTCAACAACACTAATCCAAAGTACGACAGCACCTGATGATAGCTGCGTCTTTCTGCCTCATATATGCACTCCAGAAACAAGCATGATATCGTTAGCGCATCTTCGGCCAAAATGGGCTCCGAGCGTCCCAAAAGCATCGTTCTAAATCCAGAGAGTGTGTTCCTTCTCCTGTCCACAAAATCTCAAGAGTCAAGAGAGCGTAATTGAAACTGATCGAAGGCAACGTGCTCGGTGAGGGTCATATCAGTCTTGTATCGGTCGGCAATTTTTTTTCTTCCTCAGTAAATATCACTGAGAATGTAATATGTAGATTGCTTTCAGAATTTAGCTTCCTGTAAAAATTGCGTACCTGTCAACATTAGCTCGCTATATGCGCACTCTTCGCTTCGCATCGCGCCGCAAAGGACTCCGCCGTTGCCTGATGCACCACGTCAACATCCAGTCCTTTCTCCCCATTACACTCTTCTATGCGTCGTCTTCGTTGGAGAAAAAAGCTCCTGTTTACTACAACGAGTATACGCGTAGAAAAAGCGATATTCAGGTTGAAAATAGTTGCTCAAAAGCGACTCGACCATAATTTATTCGTCTAGGTTCGTACGCATATAAGCACTTTTCTGTCTCCCAAACCATGCAAAACCCACCTTGCCCTTCGTGTCGTTTCGTATCGCTATCGTTCGGCAGGGAACGTCACCGGCGCATCATCAATCCAGACCGGCAGTACCATGGCGTAACCTCGGTCGATGAAACTGCAACTTCAGCAGAGGTTGTCTTTTGTTCAAAGCCAACGTTTTCGACATATTCCGTCTTCAAGTTCCTGCCCTTACCTCCTGTGCACCACCTTCCTCAGCCGCGCCTCCAAGCTTGTACCATTCAAATTTCAACGTGCTTCTGCTTCCAGTTCATGCGGCTCATCGCTGCCCTTTGTCCTAGGGCCTATATTGTTCCGGTAAGGCTAAACAATAATACTATGTGGAGTAAAACCGTTTATTGTCATAATTGCAGCTTTGGTATTGTTCGAGCCCTTGGCGAAGTCGTGTTCCTCCTTGATGCGAAGCTTAGCCAAATCGTTCGAAGGACGACTGATCTTCAAATCCTGAATCGCCATACCAACAAAGAGTTATGAAGACCCCCCATCGTATCCGAGCATCGGGTGGAAACTGAATATTGGAGAAGACTGTTGGGAGGTGAACGATGGTGAGTGAAAGGAAATAAGCTACTCCTAGGCTAGGGTTAATCATCGCACGTTTTGATAGCTCCTTGTGGCACGTTCAATAACCCGTTGGGGGACCTTGTTTTCACCTGATCCCTTTCTTCCATCATCATCCATCATAGCAAAGACCCCGCCATGCAGGCTTGAGTTGCTGAGGTCCACTGGGCCCTCCCCTCCTCAAGTACTGTCGTCTCCACTCCCATAGAGGCACCATGGAATCCACAGAAGATGCACAAAAAGAAGAGATAACCGCCCTGCATTCTATTTACGGCGACGATTTCATCGACGTTCCTCCACCCAAGGCCTGGAAGGTGAGCAGGATCGACCAGATATCGACTTTCGCTTTTGACTCCTGTGGCAGGGCGCTCAACGACTTTACGAGTTTATCGTGCGCATATCGCATCCAGAGCCTGAGTATTCATCGAGAGTCTCGATCAACTTACACGTAAAGTGAGCATTCCCACCTCGCAGGCTTGCCTCTGCTCATTCCCGCAGGTTTCCCAAGACATATCCACATCTTGCATGCCCTACTTTTGGGATAGATAAACCCTACACCGGAGTCAACGATGGACAAGCCACTACTCTGCTTCGCGCCATCAATGCTGAAGCCCAACACCACAAGGGGAATGTAATGGTTTTCGAGGTGCGCCTGTTCACTTCCCTTTGATGTCAG